TCTGATGAGTTTTGGTTTTAGGTGAGATTTATGGTCATCTAAGAGTTGGTAACGGCGAATATCGCAGACGATGGAACGATGTTGTTGTTGTAGCGGTGCGCTAACCCCGCTTAAGTACAGGTTTTATCAATCTAAGACGCCGAGGTCATCTAAAGAGAGGTCCAGGAAACGAGCTGTTTCGACTGGATTGGAGTTCAACTTGCTACAGTATCCAGACTTAAGGTGTGCCACGATCACGAGGGTCTCTCGAGGCAGCTCTTTGCTCATTGTCTGCATTAGGTGGTGGTTTTATTCCGAACACGCCATTTACTGGAAGGGAGTCTTTGAAGGCGCTGATTGACTCCTGGTGAATGACGTTTAGTGCCTGTCTGTATGCCGTCCTGTCCAGCGGTTGTTGTACATGTTTGCTGGATGGTGTTTTTTAAGTCGAGTACGATCGAACATTAAGCTGTATGGGTAATACGGCGACATTTACATGGTTCAGCGAATGAAGAAGTAGCGGCTACGCCAGCTAGGTCATCTGGTCCAGATGGATACGAATACTCCAGATTTGAAAGTTGTCGATGCAGTACCCACCGATGGAAGCAGAGGAAGATGAAGACTTCCACTCCGTTGGAAAGACCAGGTAGAGGAGAACCTGACTATACTTGGTATTTCCAATTGGCGTCAAACAGCAAATAGAAGAAACGAATGGCGCAATGTTGTTAAATCGGTTATAATCGCGTAAGCGGTGTCTTCATAGTTTTTGCCCAATTGCACTCATATTCAATGCGAGTTTATACCAGACCATGGGAAACTTAAATATCAAATTCCATCAAATACTTTTCAGTTCTGCCCAGTTTCTGAGATATTCTGTGGTCCAAAAGTGGGTGTTGCAAGGCCTATACGAAATTTGTTTTCTACCCTTCATATTTTTCCTTTTAATGCGAGCGTCCTTGATTTGACCCAAAACTACCGTTATATAGTAAGTGGACAAGATCACGGTACGATTTCATAGATTTGTAATAGAGTCCGAGCAATAAGTGAACTATGTTTTATCACAATGTTTCAATCTTAACTTGAGTTATTCACACAGACGAACAGAGAGACAGGCAGACCGACAGACCGACATGGCTAAATTGATACCCACCGCCAGTGTACAGCGGAGTATAACAAAATTGTATCCATCCACTAAGCGGTAATCCAAAGTTACCGAGCAGCTCTACCCGTCTTACTCAGGCAGGGATGCGACTAACCTCCAGATTAAGAACAAAACAATAAAATTAATTATTAATTTCGAAGACTGGTTTTGAACTTGGTGAAAATCATTCCAATACTGTTTAGTTGAAGTAAAATAGAAAATAATATAAATTCTTAAAATGACTTCAATGAGAGTTAAAGCACGTTGAAAACTACATGAATATGATTAGGATGAAAGTCACGATCATATGTTACTACAATTTGAAGCACATAGAACTCGTCCAACTCACGAACATGGTTGGTTGGTTGGTTAAAATGTGGAGGTTAGGTTAGGTTAGGACCTGATTGCAAGTGATTGAGTAGGCTCAATTGTGCTACCGCTTAATCTAACAAACTGACTATTTTCCCCTCAACCCATGTTTGCCAAGTTGCAGCAAGGGGCATCGTAAAAGATATGACGTCTTCATCGATTGAAATACAGACAATCGCAAAAGTAGTGCTTTCATATTTCGTTTTCTCTGCTCTCGGCCGATTGAACCTCATCTACAAGAATACTAAATTCCCTATTCTGTAGTACAAATAAAAGTTCTGTCCGTCTGCAAGACACACTATCCCACAGAGCTTAATGAATGCGCGATATATTGGTAGAACACCAAGGTCTGAAACTTACGATGGTAAAAGCCTCGTAGCTACTTTCTACAACCGGTGACCTAAAACCCGCGTCTCATTATAAGCCCATGAAAGTTTTTTTCTCACATGTTCCCACACTTTTCGATTTGTTTTAACAAATTTGATTGCCCGACAACAAGTAATCTAATAGATATTTGCCTCTTAAAGCAGTTGTATATTTGGCACCTTCAACAACGCCCACATACTCTCTTTCGAAGACAGAGTTGTAGTTATTATGTTTGATGCTACTTTTTTATTGGTCACAGAAGAACTTTGCTCTTTTGTCTAACTCATACTTTATTCCAAGGATATACCGAACGCAATAGCCGCATGGTTAGCAATGCGTAACAACATACGGAAGCCAGAGTTCGCGTCCTGGTACGATCAGGTACGATACGAATGTTAAGCCCTGCGAGTACATTTCTGACCTTAAATAAAAAACGCTGAAAATAATCCCTCGGCCGTTTGGAGGCGGCCTGAAATAAATTATTTTTTGACAAAACATCAAGACGCACGCCACTAATCGCAGGACGAGCTCCTCCGAAAATCGCGTTACCGGTTACAAGCACCAAGTATTGGTGTGTATTATGAAGACGAAAACGGGTGTTATGACGAAAATGTTCCAGTGCTCATCAGAGAGCTTTCGCATTGTGAAGTGACTGATTGTTTTGCAATTTTGAGTCTTTGAACTTTGGAGCTACCTAACGCTGATCTGCTCATTTCTTCAAGATCCCCTCAATACACAGCTGAATGTGGTTTATTTTTGCCAAATTCTGCGAAATCTATTCAATAAATTGTCTGCTAGAAACAACGACATGCTTTTGTAATTTATTGTTTAATTAATTAATAGACACACACACATACAAATATTGAAAGCCATGTAAACATATTGCTGTCATAACTCTTTCGATTGCACACTTTTGCCCCATTATGGGGTCGTTTTGATTGCATGCCAAAATCTTGTAATTGATTACCAAGTTCTATTTACCATTGAGGTGTCAAATAACGCTTTATTTATTGTGTAAAAGGAAAATAGGTATGTATGTAATTTTTAATTAGAAACTAAATTAATGCTGAGCTTATTATTTATTGGGGCACTCATTCAAAGATTTCGTAACGTAAGTGTTTTATACACGATTGTAGCGCATATGCGGACCGGGTGTGTTCCATGAATAACCGACTACAATAACACTGGTCAACACTGTTTTAGACTATTTGGGGTATTCTGTGAGGAGTAAAGATAAATAAATCTTTGGTTCCACATAAGCTACACCAATGATTTGGACGCAACCAAAGGATCACGTGAATGATCGTTATTTTGATTTAAGCAAAAGGTTTTATAAAACACTATCCACGATCCAAGCTTGTATTCGGCCCATAGATCCATCCGGCACAATTCCGAGCTGCCAATGGCAAAACCCTCAAATCGTTCAGTAAGGTCGAGTTCTAGTGAGAAATTTGTACTAATTCCACACGACACGGTATCTCAAGAAAAATTCCCAAAGTTCAGCGAAACAAAAATTAAAGAGGGAATATTTGAAGGCCAAGAAATACGACAACTGATAAAAGATAAAAGAGCTTTGAACGAAAACTGAATAGCCAGGAAAAAACGTGCCTCTCGATATCTTTTGAATTTCGTCCTTTCTTGGAAATCATAAATGAACTTATAATACTATGCATACATTAAGACCAGAAAGTTTCCGGAAATTATTTTTTAATTTCGATATTCGCTTTGAGACGTTTGCGCGAAAACATCAGGTCGTAAACGGTCAGAATTGTGGGCCAACAACTCACGTTACAACCCCGTGGAACCGGTCTCCACGCGATTGAGGCCGTAAAAGAAAATTCGCGGAAGGAACTGAGGTCGACTGATTTCAACAGCTGCTGCAAACGAACATTTTTGGCATAGTAATTAACGACAGTGCTACCAACTTAACAAAAAAAAGTGCTGATTCATTAAATTTAAATTTTTTAGACAAGTGAACAGTGAGTTATGAAATAGAAAGATCCCAGATGCTTCTTAAACAAGTGGCTAGCACTGCGTATTGCTATTCGGATAGCCAGGGTTCGAGTCCTGGTTTAACTAACATCTAAAAATAAATTTTTTTTTATTGCCGGCGTCCCTCAGCAGAGTCGTCTAAACGTCAAACACAACCCAAGCAATTCAAAAGACTCATGTAACCATACAAAGGCCTTATAGGAAACACGGTGTCCAAGTTGGTTTGTCAAATTCCGTTCGGGAGATTTTTCACTCAAAGATAAGTCACGGTCAGGTCGGCCAAGTGAAGTTGATGATGACGATATTAAGGCTTTAATCGAATCGGAACGCCATGTAACTGAGCGTGCGATTGGAGGGAAGTCAAGTATACCAAAATCAATCGTTCATAATCATATACCAGGTCTTGGACTGATAAAAAAAAAGCGTGATATTCGGTTACCACAAGAATTGAAAGAAATCCATAGAACAGGCCGCTTTAATGCTTGTGATATGCATCTTAAACGCAATGAATATGATTCCTTCGTGAAGCAAATCAAAGGTGAAGATGAAATATAGATTGTGTATACTAACGTTAATCGAAAACGATTGATCCAAGCATGATGAAGCTCCACCACTTCAAAGGCTGATATTCACCAAAAGAAGATTATGCTGTCAGTTTAGTGGGATTGGAAGGGTGTGGTATATTTTGAGCTACTTCCAAGGAATCAAACGACTGACTCGGATGTTTACTGTGAACAACTGGACAAATTGAATACATCCATCAAAGAGAAGCGGCCAGAATTGGTTAACCATAAAGGTGTCATATTCCACCAGGACAATGCTTGACCACACACATCGTTGGTCACTCGCCAAAAGCTGAGAGATCTTGGTTGGAAACTGTTGATGCAGCACTGACCTACCGTCAGACTACCATTTCTTTCGATCCTTGCAAAACTCATAAAATGGCGAAACTGTCGAAAAAGACAAGGGTATGAAATCGAAAGATGTCAAAATTTTTAACAAACAGAAGTAAAATCCTTACGAACAGGTAACACGCTAGTGAAATCGCTTATCTCATATTCGTTTCAACCCGAAGTTGACTCTTCTCTTATCGTTTCCTTAACATTATATATGTATTTTGCCGGATCTTGATTCATCAATCTACAGTACTCACCTCGTTGCCTCATTTAAATGCCTTTGTATTTGTAATTTCTTCTCAATCTGCTCAATGGGGAATTGCGGTACTTCATAAGGTGCTGAAATCTCATTGGGAAGCACATCATCGGCAACTTCACCGGGCACCGGTGTCTTTACTTGTCTTGCTGCGGCAACGGCAGTTGGTGAATCAGCTCCTGAAATGAAAAAAAAATACATAAAAAATTAAATAAAATGTCAATTAAGCGCTCAACTAAGCGATATTTACATAAAAGATAGAGCAACAATTATTCTAAAAACAAAAAAAAAATGTAGTAATTGTAAGCGTAGTTCTCTCTCTACTGTAGCATCTAGCTTTGTACGCTCTGCAAACGAATGCTGTGCATCTTAATTAGTGCAAAGGACTGTCTTTAATCCACGCAACAACATTCTTTCGTATTAATGCTCCACTCCACACATATACATATACATAGGTATATAAAGGGTGTTTTTTAAAAGTGTGCTTTTCAATCTGGCAATACTTTTTTCTGAGTTGATCCTTCTGACAGCTGTTACTTGATTTATTCGCAGACTTGCCAGATTTACTTCGAAATAACGTTTCGCAAATCGTGCAACATTCGCTCGAAATAATCGCCCAGCGGAGTCGGTAATTCAAGCAGGCATAGATCGGTTTCGCATCACGTTTAGTCTAGTGGATAATGCGCATCTTCAGAGATGTTGCACAGTGCGCACCGGCGCAGCTGTGGAGTGGAGTATCGAAGAAGACTCGAAAGAGTCTATCCGCCATCGCGCAGAATGGAAGCTTTTGCGGAAGGATTGTGGTTTGCGGGCAAAATCCAAATCGTGCAAGAAACGAAACCGAACGACCATCAAGCGTGTCGCACCTTTGATGTGCCTTATGGATAGACAGAGAACGTTATAGTGCAGTGATTCATGTCCTTATGGTGCCTGAATTAGACGATGTTGATGTGAACGAACTTTGGTTTCAACGAGACGACGTTACTTGTCAAATAACCATAGAAACAATCAATTTAGTGATAGAAACTATTGGTGCGCGCACTATCTCGCGTCGTGGCTCCGTGACGTGGCCTCCAAGATTGCGTGCGATTTAACTTCGCTGGACTTTTGTTTGTGGGGTTACATGAAGTCGCTTATCTACACAGATGAGTACGAGATTATGGACGCCTTGGAAGAGAATATTCGCCACGTTATTGCTGGCATACGGCTCCCAATTGGTGCAAAAAATGATTGAAAATTGGGCCTCTGGAATTTATGCAAGCCAGCCGCTGCGGCCACTTGCTCGAAATCATTATGGGAAAACCATATTTTCATAATAAAACTGAATAATTGGTTTAATTTTTTTTGGAAGCCACATGCCTGAAAAAAGCACCCTTTATATAAGTATGTATATATATATATGTGTATTACATAATAGGAGTAATCTTACTCTTTGCAGCTCATTACTGCCGTAATTGTTGTTGGCCCAGTTCTAAACACCACACACAAATAGACCGAGCAACCATTAAAGCCAACACTCGAATTAATAGCACTCACGGTGCAGGCAGGCAACAGTGCACACGAATAGCAAACATACGTGCTTGGGGAGCTCACACTTGACATGAAAATCAATATATCAACAGTAACGACAAGGCGATGTAGCGACGCTGCTGATGCTGCTGTTGCTGTTGCTGGCATGCTCGTCTGTATGTATTTTGCGTGTTTTTCCTTTATTTGTTTGCCGTTTTTTACGTTCTTTCCTCCCAAATGTGCTTTCGACTTGCGAAATTCCACTCAGCGATACAATCGCCTCACCGCCTGGTTTTGCCACTGACGCTACTGATATTGATACATTGCCTTGTGGTGGCGTGGCGTGGCGTGGCAGGGGCGTGTTCATGTTTGTAGTAATTGGTTGCCATGCAAATGTTGTTGTAATAGGAAATAGGACACCTTCGAGAACGTTATACGAACGAACATCAATCAGTTTGTTTTACTTATTTTGTTTTCTTTTGTTAATTAAATTTTATACCGTTAAGCATAAAAAAGAGAATTAAATAAAGGCAAGTGTTCAATGCTCATTTCCTCACCCTTAACTAGTGAGCCAAAAAGTTTAGCATCGACCAGTAGACGATGTGCGGAGTCCATGCGATTAAAATTCATTTTTCAAATAAATAAAAAAAAAATGTGGAAAATTCACTCTTCAAAGTTGTTGTTCGATTTAAGAATCACAAGTAACTAACTATTGTGCCTTTAGATTAATTAGAACAAATTAATTTCATTTCCCATACAATGTGCGCTCAGCAACTTCGTTGGGTGCATCTGCGCTGAAACGTTTGTGATAGACAGATTGTTTGAGCGATAAGTTAAGGTGATAAGGCAGCTGAGCGGCGGAGATGGACTGGAATGTGTTTCAATAAATATTTACAAACGTTCTAATTCCGCTGGTCTATTATGTTGTTGTACAATTTCAAGCTGGTGTTGCTGGTACCGCCTGCCCCCTGAGCCCCATTTTTATTTTTTATTTTTAATTTTTTTATTTTAATTCATTACCAAAAGTTTCCACGGCTAATTTTCTCCATTTAAACTAATTTCTTTTCAATTTATAAAATTCGTTTGCGTTTAATCCCACACGATTTGATTTATTTTAATATATATATAAGTTTTTCCTTAATTTATTTTCATTTATTTTAATGTAAATTGGCTTTATTTGATTTATTGATTTGAATAGAGCAAACTGATGTGATCTCTTCAATCCGGTATGATATCTGATGATATGTAGTGATTTGTTATTTCATTGCTATTAAATTTTAATTATTTAATTGGTTTTGATCAGGTCTGAGATATTCTTCTACTTTCTGGTAGAAATGAAAGGTGAAAAGAAATGTTGTACGTAATGGGATTTGCTGTTTTGATTTATTTACAAAGAAGATCGCACTTGTGGTCTGGGAGTTTGTCTTCTCTGAATACTCGGGGAAAAAACTCTGCTTGCAATGAAAAGCTTTAAGGCCGCAAGATTAATAAGCCATTGAATAAAGTTTAAAACGCTCTTCACACAGACACTAAATAAACTAATTTGAAATTAGAGACCTAAATCCCAAGAAATCAGCTGGAATTAATTGCTAGCAAATAGTCGCTATATGTATTGGATAACATCATAGCATCTCTGAAAATATCACACCCAAGAAATCAAGTCACAGAACGCTAACAATGTAATAATCTCATAAATTAAGTTAAAAATTATAAATTTTTTATGTATGGGTGTGCAGTTCATTAAAAAAATTGGATCAGTTCTAAGCTTTTAAAGCCAATATATAATCGAAAATTCGAATGCAAGCTAAGTGAATACACATCACAACAAATTAAATCATATAAATTTACTTACAATATATTTTCAAGTCGCGAAATGTCAGGTCAACTCAGAATAATTGTTTTTTTTAGATCTGTAATCATGTCATATGTATCATATCATGTCACGTAATATCAAATTATTCCTTACAATATAATAATATCATATGACATCACACCTTACAATATCACAACACATCACATCCCACTTTGCAGTACTATATCACACGGCATATGTCATCTTATCTGACAATACCATATCACCTGACATGAAATAATGCAATATCATATCATATGACATCATTTTTGACAATATCATATCATATGACATCATACCTGACAATATCATATCATATGGCATAATATCGTATCACAAAATAGCATATCATATGACCTCACACCTGACAATACCATATCAAATCACATCGCATCATACAATAACATATCAATAGACATCATATCTGACGATATCATATCACATCACAATCCACGATGCAGTACCAAATCATATGAGACCAATATCAATATCAATATCACATCACATCGTAAATGGCAATATCATATCAATGACACCATACATGACATTATCATTTCTTATCATATTGTATAATATCATAAGATGTATTGTATCATATCATAAGATGTCGTATCTTACAATATCAATATCACATCACATCGTATCATGCAATATCATATCAATGACACCATACCTTACAATATCATATTAAATGGCACCATACCTAACAACATCATATCAAATGACACCATACCTGACAATATCAGATCATATCATATTGTATATCATAAGATGTCGTATCATATCATATTGTATAATATCATAAGATGTCGTATCATACCACATCGTATGATATTGCATCATATCATAAGATGTCGTATCGCATCATGTCATATAATATAATATAATATCACATCATGACACATATCATATCATATGAGCTTAGATTGCTTTTAATTCAATACGATTTATATGAATATACAAGACATGTAAGTTTGGATTGCACTTCATTTAATCTTAATATTTTCCATATGTGCTCAATTTTACACCAAATACTAGTGTATTTATAAATATAATTGGCGTTTTGTAACCGCTGAAGCGATTTTCAGCCGACCTCCACCTCCAATTTATGGCATTCGTCTTAATGTTTTTTCAACAAAATAGAGGGACCTACGAAAATTTGTACTAAGCCGCCTCCAAACGGCTGATGGTTTTGTATGAGGATCCTTTATTTAATATCAGAAATACACTCGCCTCTACTCAGGGGCGGCCGCAACTAAAAAAATTAATTAATTTTTTATTTAAATTAATTTTCTTTGACTTTTGGCAGTTGGTCGAACCCTGGTCATCCGAATGGCATGTATTTACTACTGCTATATGTTGTTGTTGATGTTAATATGTATGTACATATTGAAATGTATTAATATTTGTATTTGTATTGTATCTATACTAATTGTTATTATTTAGCCAAAGGTATGTTTAAATATATGTACATACATATATTATTTGCTAATTACACGCTGACGATCTAGCTGATAGTAACGCAGAATTGATAAAGTAAATTTTAGTGCACATGACATGACAACGACTAATAGATAAAGAATAATAGAATTTAATATATGGAAAAATTAATATTTATAGTAGAGAAATTTAGTTTTTATGATGTCTAGTGGTATATACAATAAATATTGCTGTTTTACAGGCTTAAGATAATCAAACCAATCACAAAAAAAAAATAATAATAATAATTTTTAGTATCTTCCTCTCTCTACTTTGTATTTATGTATTATTTAACACACTTCTTTATTATTTATACATACATATGTACATATAATAGTTTAAAAAAAATATTTTAAATTGCTTCACACTTACTGGGCGTTAGCGCTCCTGGTCCAGAGATCGAACGCATAACCCGATGCGAAGTTACAAAGGGATAACGACTGATGCGAGGCTCAGGCACATCAATCGAATCGATCGAGTCGATGGCATGTACACCACGCAAGCTCATTGTGCTAAATAAAAGTTTCTCAAAAACACTCCTTTGTTGTTGTAGATATGTATTTACACTAGAATTTATTACTTTTTTTTTTTTTTTTGTTTTCTTTGTTTCGTTTCACTTATGCAACAAATGCAAAATTTGGTTCAACACTGAATTTAATAACAAAGAATTTATTCCAATTTCTTCTAGCAGTGTGTAGCGAAAAATCGTTGAAATTGTCAACCGTCGCCGAAAAAGTCGCAGGAAATATTAATTTGCAGTGAAAATAGAATTCATTTCGAATGCTTTTGATTTTTACTTTTTCTTGTATTATTTATTTATCTACTTCGATGACGTTCGGCAAGTTAATAAACTTTCTTTCCTCCGTTGTACACGATTTTTCACAATTTTACAGCTTTGTTTTGTTTACTTTTGTTTCTAAAATGCTTGTGTTGCTATTGCTTTTAATTTTATCGTGTTGCCTTTATTTATTTACATACAAACAGACGTACATACATAAATCAGCTGATGAATTGCGTTGCGTTTCTTTGCTTTTCAGATATCATTTTTTTTTAATTATCTATCATATTCGCTTTTCATGGCTGTGTTGCCACGCTTTTTGAATTTATTTAAAATTTTTTTAGTTCCCCTCGTGTCATATGCAAATTAATTTAATTTGTTTTTAATTTATTTGTTTTTGTTCTCATTTTACAGTTGTCAAGTATTCGCGCACCTTAAAAAGCCAATAATATTTTATTTTATTAAAAAAAAAGTTAATTATTTTAAGAGGTTGCTCGCTAACGAAACCCTGATCCATCGTACTAAGGCTTACTGGCTCGTCGTTATACCGTTGTTGTGATTGTGATGGAGACTTTTCTCACCATTTCACATGCTTAAACCAATTGGTGTGTTACATGATGTTCAGGAAATTATTGATGCCTCCAGATGCAAGCTTTGCCACACAATTGAAATGAGAAAACGATAATGAGCCAATGTACTAAGAGCATTAGCAGTGGTAATGTCCTACCCATTCCCCTCATCTATCTCCCAGCAGATGGGACGAAAGTCGTTAGACAAACAACCCATTCTTCTATCATGTGTCCACATAAGACAGGGTCCGGTTGTTATGCTTCTGGAGGCCCTATTTAGTAGGAGTATAAATTGAGTTAATTTCACTTCGATAAATGTCCATATTTCTTTGGTCACATTGCAAGTGGTTTCTCTCTGTCATCTGTTGTTGACCCTTCTAGTGAAGGCTGACCTTAACAGGAAAGAGTTATGCCCACTTGCAGAGTTTATCGTGGAAATAAAGTCAGAACATATCGGAAATTTAAGAAGCGTCTTAAGGCAGGGTCAAGCTATTAGACAATGCTACCGATTGCCAAAATCACCAGACAAAAACGTTGAATATAAAAAATGTATTTGGCGCTTTATGACCGATGAAGCGATTTAAGACCAAGCTGGCGTTTCTTGATTCTTTTCCGACAAAATGGAGAGACCTACAGCTTTTACTAAGCCGCATTCGAATAGCCGAGCGATTTTAATGAGGAGCCTTTATTTTATGTCTGAAATACACTCCTGCAGCGAGTGACTACAGCTAAAAAAATTATTTTCAATAACTTCAGATGTTGGTTTGGCGACCCTCCGAATGGTAGTACCAGTGCACACCACTTTGAAACTATTTATTCAGATCAGTCAATTATGACATGAAATGTGGCCATCTAACGAATTTTAGTCCAATATTCAGAAGCCTGTTTAGAGGTAGGATTATTGATTTGAGAAAGAAGTAAATACAAGTTCTTAAACCTATTTTAACATGAAGAAAAGTGCTACCGAAAGCCATCGTATTGTACTGGAAGTTTATGGTGATCATGCTTTAGCCGAACGAACGTGCCAAAAGTGGTTTGCACGGTTTAAAAGTGGCAATTTCGACTTAGACAACGGAGAATGACCCGGACTGCCCAAATAATTTCAAGACGAAGAATTGGAGACATTGCTCGATGCAGATGCATGCCAGACGAAAGAAGAACTTGCAAAAGTATTAGGAGTTGCTCAAGCAACCGTTTCCAGATGATTAATATCATTAGGATTCATCCAGAAGCTTGGAAATCGGGTGCCTTATGAATTAAAGCCAATAGCCGTCGAACGCCGATTCCGCATATCGGAAATGTTGCTTCAACGCCACCAAAAGAACTCATTTTTGCAACGGTCAATGGAATGGAAAAATTGATTCAATATGCTAACCCAAAGAGCAAGAGAACGAAAGAATGTTTTTTCTGTACAAAAATTCCGGTTTCATACTTACACATCTGGTATCGTATATTTATATACATATGTATGTGTTCGCTGTCCATTAAGTATGAGTGCACCAATTTCAAAATCAACTCAAATATACTATATTTGCAAGTTGTTCCCTTTTCTATATATAAAATGAATTTTTATAAAAAAATTATTCGACACAAAAACGAAGAGTAAAGACGATGTGCCATCTCACAAGCAGATAACGTACACTAACAACTTTAGGTCGTCCAAGGTTTTACCGAGTCATAACATTTGCGTCAGATGGAAACTTATCATTCGGGGCACAAATGAATTCGGACCGATTTTTTTTTTGTGTTCAAAAAAATGTTTTTTTATTGAAAGAAGTTAAAAAAAACATCATTTCAAGTATTGCCCATCGGAAACTATTACTTTTTGGCAACTCTCTGGTAATTCCTCGAATACCATTTGTAAAATATGTCAAAAAAAACCAATAGTCGGAAGGAGCAAGGTTTGGAGAATACAGCGGTCGAGATAAGACCTCATGGTTTCCGCTTAGTTTTAACCACATTCCAAATCCTCAAACTTTCTAAAGCGTCAAGGCTATACTGTGAATGGCATATCGTTCGACACAGTTTCACCATAGACATAAACACTATTTTCCAATTAAAATAGAAAAGAGACCGAATTAATGTACCTCCAATTTTTAAGGTATTAGACAGTAAGGTTTTTTTTGGGTGTTATAATCTCTCTGCAATTATTTGAGAATCCTCGGAACCCCAAATGCCACAATTTGGTTTAGTTACGTACACCCCGAGTGATAAGGGTGTCTCGGCGCTTAAGAAAATTTCGTTCGAAAAATCAACGTTTATTGTCTGTTGTTCAAGAACCCAATGGACGTATGTACGGCGTTGTGTATAGTCAGCTGGTTTCAGTTGTTGTGTGAGCTGGGCTTTATATGAATTTTCCTGTAAGTCTAACTGTAAAATACGCTATACTGTGCCGTAAGAAAGCACCAGCTGTGAAGAACGTCGGGAAATACACAAATTCCGGTCTTCGATATTTGAGGTGGAAAGAGCAAAATGGGACCCCATTAAAATTACCATTTTCACTCAACCAGAAGAGGCCATCTTTGATCAACAGAGGCCAAACTGTATTCCGCCAGGACAACGACAGGCAACACACGTGGCGTTTGGTGACACGCCAGAAGCTCCACGAGCTCGGATGGGAGGTCTTAATTGACCCACCTTATAGTCCTGACCTGGCACCAAGTGATTACCATCTTTTCATGTCCGTGGCGAACGCGATTAATGGTGAGAAGTTGACCTCAAGAGAGGCCTATGAAAATTGGCTCTCCGAGTCTTTTTGCAAATTGGGACGCAGCCTTCTACGAGAGGGGTATAATGAAGTTGGCATCGATCAAATGTACAAAAAGTTATCATATTTCGAAAAATCTATAAAAAGTAAACCGAACGAACTTTTTACTTGACCCAATACATATGTACATATTAATATATCAATACAAAATTTTCTGTTTGTCTATCAAGTGCATTGCCCTAATATACCGACGCTGCCTCTACCATATGTTTTTTTATATATTATGTATGTATATATATATATATATATATATATAATCAGTCTTTCTTTGTCATGGTCAATGCGCAATTATGAAGAGCACGCTAAATTCAAAGACAACAAAGGTAGAAATATGCAATATATATATGTATGTGCATATATTATTTAAATTTAATTTTTTGTTTACAAAAATATATTTAACACAAAATGAGAACAAAAGTCATCAGTGTGTAAGCACATGCATATATGTGTGCATGTATGTATGTATATATGACAGAAACACATTCTAGACACGATAGGTTGGCGAACTGCTGATTAGTTTGGCAAAGAACCAACACAATTAACGACCGACAGATGGGCAAATATCAGCGTAATTAGTTAATTTGAAATAATATTGGGCTTAGCAATTAAGACTGAAAGTGCATCTTACTAACACAAATCGAATTCATATTTAATAGATGACTAAGACTGCTTAAGATAGAAGAGCAAAGTTAAAATCGAAAACGAAAATTAAAAAAAAAATAAATATAGTAAAATTTATTTTCTACTTTAGTGTATTTTGCAACAAAAAGGCAACCAAAACAATTTATATACCTTTCATGTACATGAAATGGCACATTCACTTTGGTCCGAAGTAGGTACAAGAAGAAAAAGAAATATACCTATCAAGAACCGATCGGAACAGTACGACGAGTTGAATTGGTTTAGCCAAGTTCGTTTGTCTGTCTGTCTGTCTGTCTGTTTGTACGCAAGCTAGTCACACTGTTTTTGAAATTTTATAACGAAACTTGGTACACCGACACATATTTAAACGATAATTTGTTGCCTCCGGCTAGATCGGACCACTTTTAGATTTGAGATTTTAAATTCTAAAACCGTCGAAAAAGCATGTAAAACGTACATACAAAAAAAATTCCCCCGAAAACTGTACCATATAGCCCACTCCACCAAGCAATTTTTCAGATATGAGAATTAATGAATTAAGTATTGATGAGTGCATAAGTTCGTGCCTGATTTCAAGTGCAAACTAAAATTGAAATTTTTGGAAGAAAGCGCTTTTATTAATCAATTATGTATTCGCCATTCATTCATGTTCGGCAATCCATTTCCAACGTTCAACCAATTTACGGATGCCTGATTCATAGAAATCGCGCGGTTTCTCGTTGAAAAAGGTGTCAAGGTGGTTTTTGACGTCTTCCACATTTTTTAATTTTTTTCCATTCAAATTGTTCTGCAGCGATCGAAACAAATGATAATCAGAAGGTGCAATGTCGGGTGAATATGGGGGATGCGGCATGATTTCCCAATTCATCTCCTTCAGTTTGGCCAGGGTCGGTTTTGCAACATGTGGCCTGGCGTTGTCATGATGGAAAAGAACTCCTTTGCGATTGGCCAAAATCGGAAGTTTTTCATCAATTGCTTTCTTCAATTCGACCAATCGCTGACAATACTTGTTGGCAGTGATCGTTTCTCCAGCTGGCAAGAGCTCAAAATAGATCACGCCTCGGATTTCCCACCAAATGCACAGCAGTACCTTCATCGGATGCAATCCACCTTTCGACATCGGTTCCGCCCCTTCGTGTGCCTGTTTCCATGT